TCAATTAATTTAATAACAAATTAATAATATCAATAAATCTATAAACAAATTAATTTATTTCATACAGGAAACTAACATTTTATTAAGTAACTGATATTTGTGTACGTGTCAAGGTTTAACAACATTTAAATCAATTAAGTGCATGTTATAAACTAGGCATAATTTATCTTTATGCTTTAAACCTGACGAAATGCTTTATATGGGGACTATTCTAATTCGAAGTAGATGTTTAGGTGATACCAGGTATGAGACTTGAGAATCTACGGAAGGTCGGAATTTTGCTTGTTTTGTTTTTATTTTTCGGGGCAACCACACAAGCGCTGAAACAGGAAGGGTGTTTTGGCTACCATTGAGTTAAAAAATTCCAAAGCAACACCAGAGGTCAAAACCAACTCGTCCGCTGGGGCTGAGATATGCATAGACTCCTGTTAGTTAGTACCATTTAGTCGCGTCTGATGAACCCATCTGCGAATGTTTCTTTTTTCAAAACCACTTTCGGGTTTAAATGTTGAATTCTGCATAGGTCGGTGCTAGGTGGTGTGGACGGTATTTTGCTTTTTTCCAGTAACGTCCACGATAACGCTCAATCAAACCGAGCCTGCAACATTTTCAATTTTACTGTGTTGGGCTGTTTTTGGGAATTCTTTTCTGCTTTTCTCAATTTCACGATCATGCCAAGATTAACAGTAGCTGCAATGTTGATTCCCTAAATATTTAAGGAAACCTCTCCAACACAAAGGGGTATTGTGTACCTATCTCATACTTTTAATTGTTGAGTCTACAAGAATGACAAAAATGTAAATAGCCATTGACGTATACACTTAATGCTGTTATGATGATATAGAAAAATGGAAATGAATAAAAATAATTGACTCCAAAATTATATATATTTTTCAAACCCGTTGAACTGTTCAATAACCTCACTCAAACTTTTATATATTAAACTTTTTTTTAATCTGTGGCAAACTGTCTCTACCATATTAAAACAACAAAACTTATCTTTTTACCAAAATAAAGCATCAGAATCAACAACGTCTATCTTATAAGTAGATAAATTTCGAACACGTCAGTTGAAACGTTCAAAGATATGTTTCCCTACTACAACATTTAATAAAACTGCAAAGGGTCTGCACAAAAGCATATGCTTGCAAGTAAGATATGAAAAAAGAAATGCATTTCAATTCATTTCGAGCTATGTATTTTACTTCATGATAAATTCTTTTTTGTTCTCTCAAAGACAAGGTTCAAAAGAGTTTTCTAAAGGTTTTGTTACTGTTAATCCATCCATTTTATTTTGTTGTTTTTTTCTACTGCCAATTGAAACCTAAAACTTTGTTACGTCTTAAACATCTTCATTCGTACACATTTTGTTTGTTTGTTTACACAGACACTGTGACAAATTTATAGAAAATATAAATGCACACTGAACATTGATTCCGTATTATCTTTTTAAAGTGTTGCAATTGTATTTTGTTTAAAAATACATTTTGTTAAAGTTTGATGATCGATATTACCTTATAAACTTGTCTTCAATACTTTGTACTTTGTTTACTTATTTCTAACATTTGACTATCTTTAAATAGATGCAGCCATCACATCATGGACAAAACCTGTTATAATTGGGGAAAGCGGTACGGGAGAATTATCAGTGTATGAGGACCAAGCATTGAACACAACAATTGAAACGTATGTTGCAGTGACAGACGAGATAACTGATACAACTATTACTTACTCATTGGTAACAGCGGTCGCACCATTTGCTGTCAGCGGTACAGGGGAGATAACAATAACATCGGCACTAGATCATGAAACTCAGGAGACATATACACTTGAGATTAAGTATGTACACAGTAGTTATCAGTTTATTATTCTTTAATTTATTCATTTATCAATAAGTCATTTAACAATAATTGGTAAACACACTTGATTAATTAATTAATTAAATAATTCAAAATCAGTGAATTTATTTAGGCTCTGTTAGTATATATGTCTGTACTTGTTTCATAAAAGTAAGATTAATGTTAATGTAAGTTCCAACATTGCATTTAAAAAATGTTTATATCTTCTTTTTTAAACAACTGAGATAATTAAATGGACACACTGTAACACTGACAAAAACTGATTTTTTTTATACTTAAACTATACGATTATATTTACAGACTATCGATTTTTAGGACGCGAGTTCAGCAATTCCTAATATGCAATACAAATCATTTCTGATCAATCTGAATATAAAATTGCATGTAATAAACACGTGTAAAACCGACTGTATTATTTAAGTATAATACGTCTTTCCAGTTTTCTACACATTTATGTATACTTTTGTTCATGTTGACGGGGTGTATATCTTTATATTTTTATCTGTTTACAAATATAAAGTAAACAACTTTTTTAATTTTGGCCCCTATGTGAAAATTTGGCTCAAAAATTAATAAAGTCAAATGTAACTAAGTAAATTTTCTATAACCAATACAAAAAAGGGGATCTTTTAAAACTGAAATTTAATTTATTGATAAAAGGTTTATAAGACAAAAGATTTTTTTAGGCCCGAAATTTTTTGGTAAGAAATTTGGGTACAGTTTACTTTTAATTTCACAGGGAAAAACGTAAATGAGGCCCCTTTTTTTTCCCAAAATTTACAAGCAGCAAAAGGCATCCCCCAAAAACTCAGTATAGGTCCCAAAATTTTCCCCAAATAAAAAAGGGATATGACTTGATATGATTAACACTGGCTATTTTAAAAAAAAAGGGTTTAATTAAAATTATGTAGTTTTTTTATTTTTCTATTCATATTTGCAACCCTACAAATACAGTAAATTTTACACATTTTGTTAAAAAAATTTTAAATTGCTTGCTTTTTTTTTTAAAAAACAAAAATGAATGTCAACGCTTTTCTTTCTTTGCGGGTCTGTTTTTTCAATTAGCTTTTAAATTGCATTCAATATTGCATGGGGTCAAATGTGATTTCCCAAGTTTTTACTGGAATTTTGCAGTAGGAAAAAATTCACCTTATCCCATTTTTTAAAGCAATTTCTGCCCCCAAAATTTAAAAACCCACCAATTTCTATTTTTTATTATTTTTTAAATTTCCTATCAAAAAACAAATCCAATTTTACAAAAGACAATTTATATCATTATAAAACAGAATTTTTTGCTTTTATTTCCCCTTTGCGGGTTAGAGAAAAGGGAAACATTATTGAACAAACCCAGGGTTGAGGGCAAGTCTTTAACTAAAATTCTTGAAAAATTTGACTACATCACCCCTAGTCTTTCATTGTTTTTTTTCTTTAAGAACGAAAACGAATGAGCTACCATGCCTTTTTAAGTCTTTACATAGGTAATATTTACAAACATTTTTTAATAATTTATTTGAAATTACACTTACATGTAACCACTTTTTAATAATAGTTATTAAGATTTATACAGGCTATATTACCCTATTGAAACGTTTTTCTTTGCATAAACATGTGTATTTCTATAGCATACGGACATCTGATTTTCAAAAAAAATATAAATTTATAAAACACCAAACTTTTTTTTTTAAAGGGGCAAAATAATTTTTTCATAAATTGAAAGCGGTATTTTATATAAAACCATATAAATGTTACTATTATCCAACAAACGTACAGTATTATAATCAAAACTATAAAGTGAAGTATGTCATTATATGTGAATTATCATTAAAGTTGGAATAAAATCAACGAAATCTAATCACAAATATGGTCAACTTTTTACATGCCAATTTTCAAGACGCTACTCGAAAGCTCACAAACTGCTGTGTTCTACATTTAATTGAATGTACATTATGAAAGCTATAAGTTGAAACATTTACAACAGATTTGCAAAAAAATATCTATACGTTCATATTGGTGTAATTGTTTGTTGATATTTTATGTCTATTTGTTGAAATTCTCATGTTCTCCTTTTCGGAATTATTATAACGTCTTCTTAACGCCATTTTAATTTTTACATTCAACGATCAACTAAAATTTTATTCTACGTACTAACTTAAGGATCAATATAAAATTATTTTCTAATATTCTCATTTATGCATATTTTTTATGTAAAGGTACAACCATTATGACAGTCACTGCAACTGATCCTGATGACGGTGATGTTTTGAAATACAGTATCCATTGTAAGTATGTCTTACAGATGACGGACTAAGAAATATTTAGTTAATTTCGACTGATGAGAGGTTACATCCAATTTGATATCCTCGGCTAATATGCTTTGCAAGAGACCTATGACAAAATAAAACGACAAACATAATGTTTTAGAAACTATTCAGTCACACAATTCCGCCATTATTTTTGTTTATGATATGATGTCAGTTGTAAATGTGCAAAATTTAGCCATTATTTTTCGTTGTTCAATAAAGGGATCGGGTCAATGGAAAAAATAAAAGGTATCACAAAGAAGAAACCTCTAAATACTAAAAGAGGATATTTTCACGTTTGAGTGAAATATTGAAAATATTTTCACGAAACATGATAAAATTCAATATATGTTCACGAGCTGCAACGGCGAGTGAAATATATAAAATCGTATCATGTTAAAACAAATATATTCCATATTTCAAGACAATTGATTGAAACAATAATCTTTTTACTTAAATAAACTTCCAAATAAATGTTGCTAACAAATGCAATTACTAAGCTACTAATTTTTTTACGCAGTTGCAATTGTACAGCGCGCAGTAACACATTGATTATTCAAAGATGCGTGACTCGGCTCGAATTCAAAACATAATTTATCACAGCTTAAATTAATTTAACCGTCTTAAAAAAAAATACATGGTATTTTTAATAAAAAATAATTTCCGATGATGGAAAGAATAGCTGACGATACTCATTGCAAAAGAAAATATCTGAAAAGTTGTCTAATAAATAAGTATGAGTTTTGAACAATAATATCATTGTAATTATCTGTTATTATCGTTTGAACTGCAAACAATATTGCTGTTATATCTCAATAAGTAAAAGGTTTCATTTATTCAGCCGGAGATACAAACAGCGACTTTACCATTGACGAGGCCAATGGACTAATCACAACAGCTAAAGTTATTTCTGGTACCACCATGAACGTATACACTTTAGTTATACATGCAGTCGATGATGACGCCACATCTAAAAAAACTGGGACAACTACAGTGGTCGTTTTGGTAGAAGATTGTACATGCTCAGGGGCGGCATCTGTTACTGCTGGACTAGTTTTAGTTCTTGCAGGGCTTTTGAAATTTCTGTACTAAAATCGTTCAAGAGATACGATCACACTGTCTCTGGATAAATACCCCAATTTCTTTAAGGACAATTAGAAACCTAGAAATTCAGTATCGATAAAAATTCAAGAACTTTAATCATGGTTAAGATCGTTTTTGAAATTACTACTATAGAATCGTAACGAGAACATCAGCTTGCATATAAAAAATCATTTCCTTGGCATAATTTAATTAAACCAAGTGTATTTAACAATTCCTTTCGTTAAAGTGTTTAATAAATGTCATAATTACTTTAATGTGCAATTTAAACCTGTATGGGACTCTTTAATTTGAACATGGGCTAGTCCTATCTATCATATACCGCCATATGATTGCCATATGATTGATTCAGAAACATTGTAATAGAAAATCGTTGCTGTGATAACATCCACTGTTTATGCTCAGATACAAAGAAGATGCTATTTAATACTTAAAGGGACACGACTGTGTTTGTTTCGAGATGTTTTCTTTCATATAAATATTTAGGTCTGCACAATGTAAGATCATTGATATAATCCCGCTATTAATAAATGAAATGCTCAAATAACCTGATTCTTAATAAAAATAAACACAATCATTATCTATATCATTATTAGTATAGTTCTTTTGCAAATCCAAATACATAGCCCAAACTAAAAAAACAAAACACACAAAAAAACACTAAAACTTTTATTTTTTTACCTTTTGGAACATTTGGATTTCAGTTGAGCAATGGTCTAGACAATTAAACATCAAAACTATAAAGGAAAAAGTCTCAGCACTTTTGTTTTCTGAATCGGATGTACGTTAACTTAATATTTAACTGCTAAATTCTTGAAACCAATTAAAAAACATACATGTATAAAAAAAATAAATAAGAACATATAGCGGATATCAATATCAAATCTACCTACGTATGTTTTTACATAAACAAAATACAAAACAAAAAAAAAAGACTTTTGAATATCTGATATCTAAAATGCAATATTCGGTATGCATTTGAAGGAACGTATCCGAAATCTTGATTTCCATATCTTAAAAACAAACTAAAAATAAATGTTGTTTTAATAACTCTTACTTATATGCTTTTATTGTCATTTATTTAAAAATCTTGGATTTCTCTGAAAGCCCATTAATGATATGTTTGAATAACATTGAGACATGGGCTTTCCTTTTACAGTTGTTTTGTGTTTGTATTAGCACGGATACTTATTTTTGATAGAGCTAGTGGTTTGCCTCTCGGTTTTGAGATCATAGGTTAGTGCTCTTTTCGAGTCACAACCATGCTTTCTTTAAATGACATCTATACTGATGAGATTGAAGTTAGAATTGGCTTTAATGCTTTTACCACAATCGAACAGAAACATTTTATTATAATGTATATGCACATATATTTTGATTTGTCTATTTTTATGTTTTTCTAATTTACAAATAAAACTTTTGCTAAAAATAGAAAAATCGTTTATCATCACTGAAGTCTATCTTCATGTCCAGTGTTAAAGACATGTACAAGGCATGTTCAAATGCAATATGAGTTCAAATCTCCGTACAAAACTGTATTGTACTCAATACATATATCGTAGAGGAGTTTGAATGAATGTATATTTAGAACAAAGGATATTAATTATGACAGCATTGTTGTATAATAATGCACGGTTTGAGTTTAAATGCACATGGATATACTAATGAAGGCCGATAGACGCAAATGATTTATTACAAAGCATTTGAACGATAAAGCTTACATCTTACACAATCGATCAATATAACATAAAAATATATATATTAATATATAACGAAACTGGTCCATGCAATTTCCTGTCATCAAAAAGTATAATTAAAGTATTCTCATATAGGCTTGTAGTATTTACTAACTCAATTTGAAAGGAGACCGGCTATGTACTATTTGATTTTTTGTATTTTCGGTCTTCTTTGAACAAATAAGTGAAATTTATGATCTACGCCAAAATCGCTAAGCATGCTTATGTTGGTCGGGTACTATAACAGTGATTTATTAGACCATTTGCAGAAGAAAACGCAATAATAAAGTCATATATTGAAAACAAAATGTATCAATGTCTAAAACATGCAACATACCAATGATATTTTATTGCAGCACTTAAAATAATTCGGTCTATTATTGAAGGGTCGTTATACAATAAATAACTATGTTAACAGTATTTTGTAAAAGATATATCAACCAACAACGAAAGATATATGGAAATATATCTATATAGTAGATAATAAAATGTTTAAGAACCAAATATTAACTTTCATCATAAAAGTCCGTGGCCGAGTGGTTAATGTCGTTGACTTCAAATCACTTGCCCCTCACCGCTGTCGGTTCGAATTCCCGACAGGGACTTTGGATTCTTTCATTTGAGGAAGCTATCCAGCTAGCTTACGGAACGGCGGTGCCCGTTCGTACCTGAAATAATGCACAGAAGGGCACCTGAAGTCTTCCTCCACCAGTAAAGCTGGAACGTCGCGATATGACCTAAACTGTGTCGATGTGACATAAAAATCCAAAACAAACAAATCTAAACATTTTAGACATATCCACGTTAAGAAAAGAAAAGAAAGAGAGAGAGAGAGAGAGAGAGAGAGAGAGAGAGAGAGAGAGAGAGAGAGAGAGAGAGAGAGAGAGAGAGAGAGAGAGAGGGAGAGAGAGAGAGAGAGAGAGAGAGAAAACGAGAAAAAAACAACAAACAACAAATAACAACAACAACAACACAAATACGATCTTGTTTACTTGGTTGATTAAAAAGCCAAGAAGCCTTAACTATGAGGGACCGACTTGAATATTAATATTTGAAACAATCAAGAAAAATGTGTCAGCGTGACTCAGTTTATGATCTGGTACGTAAAAAATGAAATTTCAAGAAGGTGTTCAACCTGACTTCTTATAGGTTGTGGGGAAGTCCGAGTGGGAGCATTCAGAGATAAACACTTAACCTATTTTCAGCCAAGACCAGACCTATCTTTAAAATATCTATGAATGTATAAACTGTTTCATTACAATAATTTCAGGGACTGTAGCCATTCGTTGGTGCGCAACATTATTTTTGAAAGTCTTTCTATTTCTTATTATAAAATTGTACTGTACCTTCAAGTCGACGGATTTTCTGCAGAAAATGGTCAGAGTGGGAGCATTCAGAAGGTGCTCGATGACATTGTTATTGCCATTGATTTAGAACCTTGGAAATTCTGTAAAAATCATAGGTATAAATATTGGAATTGATGTAATTATACTTCATCGGCAGCCGGTATTTGATTTTCAAATTATCAATATTTGTTGACAATTAAATAACCTTAGTCTAATAAAATTATGTACTATCCATTGTCAAAATGAAACATGCTTGCATACCAGCTGCTTTTTAGATTCCTTTATTTTTATCAAAAAAGGGAGGTAACCTCATTGTTATGTATTAATGATACAGATTGAATTGTTTCCCTTGGATATTTTTTTTTTTCGAACTTAATTCAATTATCTCTTAAAATCAGATAATTCCAATTATGCGAATTCTTCGATTTGTATTTGTATGCTATATGGTTCTGTCACGAATTATCAAACATAGATAAATAATTATGCCATATTAAATTTAAATTGGGTCCAAATTAAGTGGACAAACAAAACAATTGTTCTGAGCACATTGCTTTTAAAGTCCTCACAAATATGCAAGCAATTCTAATTATGACATCCCGCAATGCCAGGCGCTTGCATATCATTACAATTATTGACATTGCTTACCAGATTTTTGCAATAATTTTGTTTGTCGAATGATTTCCTAAAATGTCTTCGTATTTACTGCTGAAGACCATCAATGAACTGTATGTCTGTGAATGGATCGATGAATTCAAATTCGAAATTTTAATTCTGAAATATTTAAAATATTGGCATTGCTCATAAGGAATGACTGATGAACAATAATTGAGCACAATTAAAGTTTTTATTCAAAGTCTCCTCTTTATAGACATACTTAATCATTTCATGTTTTATTCTTGTGGAAAAAGTGGAGACCCCAACTAAAGCAATTAAAGCGGAATACTATTAGATGAAAACAGAAGACTCAATTGCATTGAGTATAAGCCTGAACACCAGCAAAAAATGTAGCATCACTACACCTCATTAAACCCTGGCTTATGTAATTAACGCTAATAGTTGCATTATACCCAACTTAATGTAAAATTGTGAGTGAAAAGGTAAAACTAAACATTACTTTATATTTTGTTATGGTTGTTTTAATTTTGTTATCTTCTTTGCCTAAAAAAACATTAATAAAGCCCGTACCCCACTGAAATTTCTTTTCGTATCTTTCAAAATATTTCAATCACGTTCAAATTATTTTTAGAATGAGACAGCCTTTGTATAGTCTTGTCCGTGTTTTAAGTTTATATTTAGCATTTACCTTTTTAATAATTGGCTAATCACAATTTTAATAGCTAATCGTTTGCAAAAGGCATTCTTGGCATATTCACCTCATTTTAACAGCGACACAATAACGATCATACAATTTTAAGCATTAGAATCTATGATCTAGAAAGAATACATATAGAAACATAAAGCACTGCAAAAATGTACTGCACATCCATGGTTATATTCCACTGTGCGCCAACCAACTTTTTAAAAATGACGGTTATGGAAAAAGTGAGCCCTTAAAACCGATGATTAGTTGGTTGTGTAGAAGTTTTATAACAAATATTCGAATTCTAGCGTTTGTCACTAGACCATGCATCATGCAAAATATTTTTTACCCCTTTTTACATTACACGTTGTCTTTCTGCATAGCTGTACATCAAAAACAAGGAGGTAGGTCTTATTCAGGCCATCTAATAGCAACAGACCTGAACCATTTGCACAACGTTTAACTTTTAAAGGGCCAACCTGAGGACCATTCCTGTAAAGTTTGATTAAGTTGCAATCATTGGTTTCAGAGATGTTGTTTAAAGAAAGTGTTGTCGGGACACGACGACAAATGACTAGCGGTTGAGAATCTTAAAATGACCACGTTGTGGTCTGGTAAGCTAAGAATTGAAAGGTGACATATTGCAGATTATTGATTATTGAATGAACATGTCAAAAGATGTAAATATATATGTATTTTAAAGGTGTAATAATTGCTTGGATTGTTTCAAGTGCCGGTAATTTTTAGCTGCAATATATTGGCAAGTAAGTACGACATTATGCAAGTATCAAAATACATGATATTTATAATAACATGCGCACGCAGTGGGTGCCTGACCACAATGGCGTCATCCAAATATTGGATTTGAATGTACCAGTTACATGGAAAACCTAAAAAATAAGACAAAAAGATCTAAGAAAGATGAAAATCTTCATTTTATGTTTATTTTACGGGTTACAAGATGTTACTAAGAGAAACGGTCCAAAAGCCTTTAGCATAAAATTTCAAATTCTTATAAAGATCGATTAGGACTCATACATACAAATGAAAATATGTTAACGATAAAAACTTGTAAATCAGTTATGTTTAAAAGATTCTAAGTAAGATTTGAGTTAAATGCGCCTAAACTATTTACATTTTCTGGTTATTGTACACATTCATAATTAAATTATATGAATATTATGGAAAAGTGGAATTAGCGAATATTGCACTAAAGTTAAAAATTAAGGCTCACACCAAATGGTATGCTCATATCGAAAAATCATGACCAGTCATACATGTCAAGAAATCTAAGTCTCTTTTATGATATGATGTCACATGAATACACATTGATGCTTATAATACAATGTTGAATGATATTGAAGTTTTTTAACAAAAACTCTTCTTCTAACGATACTGTCATATTGTATTTAATTTATTTTCGAAACTTAGACATAATGGTTTCGATGTTCATAATTCAAGGATTTTGAAAGTGATAACATTAGATCAGTCTGTTGAGTCGAATAAAAAGCAGAATTTGAATCAATGGGAGACCGACTAAAATCTTTAAAATAGGAGATCTCCTCGAAAGAAATGCAAACAACAAAATAGTAGAAAAAATACAGACTCGAATTGATTCTGTTTGTTCTTGAAAGGAAATGTTCAAGCGCCACATCCCTCATGACCACAAGCATCAGCTTTAGCAGCAATTGATCTTAAAAAAACTATCTTGCTGAAATCAATCATCCCGAAGACAAGGAATTGCATCCCTGCAAAAGACGCATTGTAAGCTACTTTTTCTAAAAAAAGCTATTTGTATAGTCACAAAAGCACAT